CTCTGAAGCATGGACGATTCGAGCAGCAGACAGGAGAAGGACCGAAGCATTTTGAATATGGTGTTAGAGAATGTTGGTTCTGATACTATGGACCGCGAAGTAGACCAACAAGTCAATCCTGATAGATTCTCTACTAACGTTACCAGATGATTCTCAGTTACTTTGGTCACATTGCTCGACGCTTTCCTAATAAATTGGATAGACTATAATCGTAGGCAAGGTGGAGGGCAAACGACCACGTGACCGATCATCTAGCCATTGGTCGGACCAGGTTAAACCACTTCCTAGACTTCCACTTGCGACCGCAATGCGAAACGCCGAGGACCGGACAGAATGGAGGGCTATAATGACCAGTGCTACAAAGGCAATGAACTACAGACACGCCCTTCAGTCATGAAGAACACGACCAAGAAGAAGAAACGTATATTGTCGTTTTATGTACTGAATCGTAAAGATATCATGTTTTTAAACTGATATACCACTGGTTAAGCTGACATGCTACAGCTAAATACCAACTGCGACACGTAAATATTTTTTCAACAAATTTCATAAAAAGAACAAGTTTCTCAATTCGACTGTATGTTTTTTCATGTGTGCTACCACAGAGCTTTTTTCTAGGTGAACCGATTTTGAGGATCCTTTTTTATTTGAATATTGTTTCTTTTCATGTAGTCCCATATAAATTTGATCAAGATCTGATCAGTAGTTTTTGAGTTATCCTTAATAATGCATAATATTAAATTGACTTCGACTACATGTGTTTCGACTACTGGTGATGTACTCATTTTGTTTTTTTATGGTGACAAATGGGCACAGTCCACCTGATTGTAAAATAATGCTGTGACCCATAGACACCTACATCCATCCTCAAGTGGTCAAGTCACCCTGCCCTGAGGACTAACATTGTTACTAGTATTGAGAGTTTCCGGTTCTCTACACTCACCAAACTAAACACTGCATTATTAAGCTGCTATTTCATGCTGGTATAGTGAGAGCGTGGTCCTTCCCCGATCGAATCGACTTTTTCATGCTTTAATCATAACTGCAGCATGGCTTTGCTCTACCACGTAATGTATCGTGTGGTCTCAAATGAGAAGGACATCAAAGTTATCAATTGTTATCAAAAGTTGGAAAAAAAGGGAAAGTCTTTTGCACATTCTCACTCACTTAACAGCCCATCAGCAACCCACAGCTGGACATTGATATATCTCATATTATCCACACACTGCTGTGTTTTGTCTATACATGTAAGAAAAACGTTTGAAAAAATTTAAACGCTCGAAGTAGAACCTATTTATTTAAAAAATGAGGTTTCATATGAAATAGAAGAAAAATTTTCAGCCCGAGGGTGGGAAATTGGTGATATAATTGTAATTTAAGCCGTTTAAATAATATTTTAGATGTTAACTTGAACTTCGATATTCTTTAGCTCTCTTAAAAGGATAAGTAGTTACGACTTCAAAAGCTAAAATAATTTCCACATAATGCTTGAAGTCAGTGCCAACAGTCTGTCGAAGAGTTAAAGCCCTTTTAGAAGCTACATATGTACACACTGTGGTTTTCCAGATATATTAGTAGTATAGTTGTAGCATGAATGGGTCGGCTCGACCGGGAAAGGACCACGCTCTCACAGATTACCAGCGTAAAATAGCAGCTTAATGCTGCTATGTTTCGTATGGTGAGTGTAGAGAACCGGAAACCCGTTTTACTGGAAACTAGGTATTCCATCTTAGTCCTCACGGGTAACAACTCATTTGCATTTCGATTCGTAGTCGAGGATAGATGTATATGTCTATGGGCCACAGCAACCACTTACCATCAGGTGTACTGTGTGCTCGTTTATCACTCTATTCTATTAAAAAAAATACCATAACTATCGTTAACTTTATTGGTACCGGCAACGGGAATTTATCTTGCTATGGTCTCGTCGGTGCTGTGAAATTATTAACTAACGATGTATTTTTTTATTGTTTTATATAATAAGGTTGAAAAACGAGCACACATTCCGTCTGATGTTAAGTAGATGATGTAGTCTATAGACTACATTTATTCTCAATTAAGAATCAAAATTCAGATTGTCACCCCTGTGGACTAAGAAGGTAATGCTCGTTTCCGCACCATACTTGATAAGTATAGTTAAGTAGCATTTAGCTGCTATTTTACGCTATTACTCCGATCGAGCCGACCTAATCATGCTACAATCATAATATAGCTTCAGCGTACAGCGGCTCTACCACGTATAAAACTGAAACTAAGCTTAACTTACCGTAGTTTTGCATATATACACAGTTATTTATTTGTATCGCTACTTAAACATTTATGTAAAGGGCACCATAATTGAGAAACAGTTTGAATGCCAGTCGGACTCTATGTCGGGGGAAGGTCTCGCAAGTCGAATGTTTGATGGCACGATACGGTCGAGGGCCGATATCGACCCTCTCGCGCCTTCGGGGCCTATTTTTAGCAATCGACCGATCTCCTCCCATACCTACGTGAAAATTTCAGGCCACCGCTATTGGCTGAAGCGCTATGACGTCACAGTAAGGCACTGACGAATGACATGGCGATGTTCTGCGCATGTCTCCTAAGCCTTTTCAGTTCGCCGGGCTGGGGAGGCCAGTCTGGGCCCGCTGATCCCAGGTGTGCCAAGCTCCCGTCAGCTGGATCAAAGGTCAATATTTTCTTATTTCTTAGTCGGCCATTTTATTTTCTTTGAATTATTGTATCTTGTACTACATCTTTGCTTTTTGAATTACTTTGTTTCGACGTGAAGTGTGAAAATAAATTCGTAACGTTACATAACTGGTGCTAAAGTTGTTATATAACGAATCGGTTGCAGCATATATATGTATATATATGCAGCATATATATATATATATATACATATTATCGTGAGTGTGGGTGTATGTTAGTAAGTATGTACACAGACGTGGAAAGAAGGTTTAGTGTAAACTTGTAGTGAAGTAATGGGAAGGGAATAAACATAATTTTTTAAGTTACAACACTTTTTTAAGCTACAAACGCTTTTTTAGTCCACCTGATGGTAAGTGGCTTCTTTAGTAAATAGACTTGGAAGAAACTTTAGAAAGGTGGATTGGAACAGACATGAAATATCTCACAATTAGTAATTATTTTATCTGTTTCACCCTTCAAACGTGAATAGAGCAGAGTGTGCGCTGCTGATAGGTAGTATATGCAAGAGGATAGTAACAACACAAACGGACTCCAAGACTGTATACTCGTATTTTGATTGTTCCTCATATATAAGTAAGAGTGACACTCAGGACCTGATGGTAAGTGGGTACTGCAGTCCATGGTCTACATCTATCCTCTACAAACGATCATAATTTTGTTTTCCTTGAGGATTAAGATGGCATGCCGCTTTTTATTAAGGTCCGTAGGCATGTGAAAAAACTCGAATGTCTCGTATGGAGTATAAAGGGTCTGATTTTTTAATATGATAAAGTATTTTCTAATGTTTTTCTTCCGGTTTTATCCAATTTTCAGAAAAAAAAATCAAGGTTACAATTCGGGTGCTGTTTTAAGCGTGTACTTTCCATTTACATCATTTCCTTGTACTGTTGATAGCCCGGATTTGAACCCGCCGGGACTAATAAAATTATTACTTGTATTATATCCAATACCCCAAATCATCCTGTTGGTGTTTTTAGGAGTGACAGGGCGAAATAAATCAGGAGATTGGCAGTAGTGTCTTTCTAATAACGACTAAAAATAAAAAAGCTACGGTTGACAACCTGCTTGCCGAGCGTGGCAGCTGTGGCAGCTGTGGAAAATTTCCCCTCTGTAAGGTAATCTATGAGGGAGGTCTAAGTTCAGCAGTGTACTATAATAGGACGTTAACAGGTTATGCGATAATGGCTGCAATTTTAAATTTTGATCTTACATTTGCTCGGTGGTGAAAGGAAACATCATGAGGAAACCTGCTTATCTGAAGACTATAATATTTCGAAGATTTGAAGCCGCCTAGATATTCGCGCCAGAATAATTATTCCATAACCCTCATAAATGAAAGTCTTTTACCCAACAGTAAGACCTATATAGACTATAACTATTACTATTCTAACAAGCTAATTTTTATTCTTAGTGTATCAATAAATACACCACCATTCTTCATAAATGCTAGTCTTCAACAACAACGACTGATCATCAAGAGCTAGGAACTAAATGAACAAAAACCACCAGTCGGTCGTTAGAATAATGCAAACGACACCCTATTTTCTACCGTATCGAATTCGTATCGCCATCGAGTCTCAGGTACAGCTATACTCCTTATAAATTTTAAGCACATGTCTGGTTGTTCACGGAGTACTGCTGTCACATATTAGCTGGTGCTGCAGCGTTGAGTCAGTGGAGACTTCTTAGCCGCCTCATGGCGTATTGGAGTACTTTGACTTGGTTTAAATCAATTTTGTCTTTCTTGGATATTGGTACAAAGCCTCTCGGTATGTCATAGGATATATTCCGGAGAGTGCTAGGATATTTTAGCTTAATAGTCACCTAACTTCATCAACGCATATCGTTACAAAACTTACATTACCATCCGCATCATTTTGGAGGTCAACTACTATATGATTTCCTAGAAGTTTTCTTCCTTGCACGACTACTTTGTGGGATCGAGCCGAATCTCAACCAATCTCACGTGGGGGAGAGGAGGGGTCTTGGCATATATCATTTTTCCCCCGCAAGAAACAATGTAAAATTTTGTATAACTGCATAATAATATTTAGCATGGTAATGCGAATTCCACAATTTATATAAAAAAATTAAATCAAATTATGTTTTCTTAAATAACCACAACGCAATCAACCTCAGATTAATGTATTTACGTTAAAAATACGCATATTGAAAAGTCTCACGCGAGATGGGGTGGTCGTGCCATAACTCACGTAATCTCACCAAGGGGGTGGGACGGGTAGAAAATCGCCAAAATAGCCTCAAAAAATTACACGCCACATCCATATTATAATTACAGCAGGAATATGAAGCGCTGTGTTTCGTATGGTGAGTAGTAGAGAACCGAAGAATCTTTTTATTGGAAACGAGGCATTATATCCTAGATCTCAGGAGTGAAAATACATTTGCATTTTGATTCTTAATCGAGGATAGAAGTAGATGTTTATAGGCCACAGCATCTGCTTACCATCAGGTGGACGTCCACGTTTGTCACCCTTAATAAAAATTGTTTTTTTTTTTAAATTAAACTTTATACTATATATTTAAAAAAATAATTGCTTATTTATGTAACAATAAACAGTCCTAAAGTTAAAATTCCCTCATTCTAAGTTCAAAAGTCATCGGATGTGTAGAAGAGGAAGCCGTCACTAGAGAACGTCCGGCCGCCATTTTGCGACCGGAATAGCGCACCGACTTCCGATGCTTGGTCTATGTTAATGCAGCTTAGTGAATTATGTTATTGTTTTAAAATGAATTATTATGCCGAGGATTAGAACTGAATTATAATAGATTTTTTTTATATTGTGTATATCATATTGTCTTCACTTATTTTACTTTGCTGTAAATATTTATTTGCATTATTTTTTTCACTTTTGTGTTATTACAAAATTTTTAATATTACCACTTGTCAAGTAAGTCAGCAGTTGACGTCTATCCCACCTGATGCTAAGTGGTAATGCATCCGAAAATGATGAAGCGCACTGAAGTAACGAAATCCTATTTACTCATGCTTTTAAGAAACCCACACTGTAATCGGATGGAAAGACAAATGCAGGCAACTTATTCCACTCTTTTGCTGTACGCATGACGAACGATGTAGCAATCCTTGTGGTTGGAATGCGTACGTAAGTTAAGTCGATAACGAAATGGTGGAGATTGGTCGAGCATCTGGTTGTTTGATGATGGATATTTTTGAATGTCATCTCAGCTCCTTGGTGTAGTGGCTTAGCCATAAGTTACAACGCTAAATAATTGTTCCGTGTCTGGATGTTTGTTCTTCTGAAATTTATATATGTAAACTGCCCTCGCAGTACAGGAGGAATTCGTAGTGTAGAGGTAACTTTTTTTTATAAAAAAGCTTCCTAACAAAACACTCTTTGTTACAGAGAACAGACGGCGCACCATGATCGAGCATTAAAGCCCAAAACACTCACAAACCGATACATATCAAGCAACGCACTGAAATTAGTTAAGTCTAGACGTAAAAAGTACACGAAACATAGAATAAATATTAACCGATCAAAGGAATTAGGGACTGGCTGGAAATAAAAAGCAAAGAGCAGAAGGCTAATTCGATTTTCGAAAGTTGGTGTTATTTGGAAGTCGTGCGAGGGGCAGTCGCCCCTTGGGGCTCGACAGTGGAGGACGAGGGGGGCGCGCTGCTCGGGCGGCTGCAGGGCGCGCTGCGAGGCGGCGCCGCAGCCGCTTCACCTTCGCGCGTTGCCAATTCCATCAAGGGCTACCTCAGCAACAAGGTCGGCTCCCTGCAGCTGAGGGATACAGGTGAGTGATGTAAAATAATTATAGTCTATTTTTATTTATTTATTACGAAAACAGTTTCAGCATCATCACAGTTCGACAAAGACAATGCTAAACCGAAAAATTTATAAATATAATAATTTATAATGAACTTCATTCAAAATTATAAATATAATTATTATGGTACGTGAGGGTGTAATGGTCAACTTAAGCCTATAAAACCGAACTACGAGGACGACAGAGACAAAAACACGAATTCGTATACTGTAACTAATAGGGGAAGCATGGAGATACCGTTCACTTAGGAGAAAAACAAGTTTGGGCGCCATTGTTCCTGAGTGTGGGTAATACACTCACTATGAGATAAAATTTCAATAATCGAACATCTTATCAACTATAATCAACTAAAGTAAAGGCTATCAATCGCTATTAACTATAATTTTTCCTTATTAGAAGTAAGAACTATGACTACTTATATTAAGCTCATCAATCCCAACATATTAGATCACCGAAAAAAGAATGACGTCAATATTTTTTGGTAAAATTGAATTTTGTCATCGTTGCAAAGATTTTTATTTTCTTCATCTTAGGTTTCTGATATGAGTTTCTAAGATTTTCCTTTGGTTTTCTTATCGACCGGCTTATGACCTAGCTGTGGATTGTTATTTAGCTCATTTAAATAACTAAATAACAATAAACAATGAAATGAATGGAATGTGATTTGATTTCGCTGCTTGTCATTGGACATCCCCTTTTCAACTGCAGCTTTAGCGTGTAAGTGGGTCGTCTTAGCTCCAAACTGCTTTGGCAATGATTCTTTAACGTTTCGTCCGTAAAGTTCCATGTTTTCTAGACATATCTTTTAAAAAATATGTAAATAACCCCTAACGACGTGCATGATCACAACCTCAAAATCTCATTTAGTCTGGTACGCAGCGACGTCACATTGAAAGGCACAAACAAAGGATTGCAGAATTCCAACTACTCTTAATATCTTTTCTTTAGTTAAATGTCGAACTTGCATTGCAATAAAATGTCGAATTATCACATTCAGCCTAAGTTGAATAAAAAAAATTAAATTGCGGTTATCAACAAAAAAAAATTGCTCCCTCTAGTTCAACTAAATTTCAACTGCTAACACATTATTTTTTTAAATCACTAACAATTTGGTATTAAAAACATTTAAATTGGTCAGTACTTTTAAGTTGATCAAGTTATCACAAATATCCCGTGATGATGTGGATGTGATAATGATCCATGGCCCATTTGATTAAATTAAATATAATTTCCGTTGATAAATTGACCATAAAACACATGTGAATTGTACTCCAAAAAGATTTATTTCGAGAAACAGTTTTTAATATTTTAATAGTTATAAGAAAGAGATTAAGTTTGTGAAACTACTTAGACTTTACAACTTTAGTGTCACATGTCCATGGACAATATCTGCCTTATTCCAAAGGTATGTAGTTTATAATTTCGTCTTATGTTTAAATTAGGGTCTGATTCTATAAAGAAGTCCCGTGGAAAATATACCAATTAAAATGTAAAGTCTCACTTCGTAGACACAACGTTATATAAATTCATTAATTCCTAGGGCTTGCCTTATTCGTCGTAAATTATGAGGCGCGATAACCCCGTGGATTGTCTTAAGCTATCTATCGCCTTAGTAGAAAATACTAAGCGAAAGACATGGTTTAAAATAAGGCTCGAAAGATCTTAATTGAATCAGATGAAGGAGACAACAAAGGATTAATGATGGAAAAAGGTGAAAAGGTATCACTAGAAAATTAGACTGGAAAATCATTACTAACAAGAGTGTAGCGTTTTTAAATCTTATATCGAAAAAGAACAGATGAGGATTTCGGCTCGGTTTTTGGTGTTTTTACTTAAAAAACGTTACCCCCATACTAGGATTTTCTCCTGTTTCGTGGAGGCAGTTTACAAACATAAATTGCCCAACGACAAATATCCAAACCTGGAATAATTATTTGTAGTCTATACAAATACATGTTCCGTTCGGGATTCGAACCCGCGGCCCCCATCGCCGTAACTCATTGCTAAGTCACTTCACCACGGTGAAGTTAAATAAAAGTAACAAGTAACTCAACCAAACATAATAGGCTTCCATTTTTAATTTAATATTGAAATAGGCATATTCAAAACAGATTATTCAACTGCTTCATTGGTTATAAAAATGTTGACGTTTTACAAAAACGGCTTTACAATGATAGACAGCGGCGCGGCATCATCGGCATGGCTTAAAGAAAATCTGTAAAAATGAAAATGGAGCTCACCTGATTGTAAGTGTCGACCGCCACCCGTGAATAGCTGCAACACCAGGGGAATTGCAGATGCGTTGCCGGCCTTTTAAAAAGAATAGGCTTCTTTCTTAAAGTATGGAAAGTGACAGCATATGTCAATGTTCGCAAAGACTGTGGCATTTGGGCTAAGGGACTTCTTATGTTAGAAGGCCCAAAAGGCCCAGAACTCTGAGTGAGAAGGACTCTTCTTAAACCATAATTTAAATTCGAGACTAACAATAAACCATGTTTTATATTAAAACGGTACAAATTAATTTAAAAAAACTATCATAAACAACGACTTTTTCGTCTACGCCAACAACATCGTGATAATGCTAAGAAAACAACCCCGCGAGCCGTCCCTGCTACGAGAGCTGACGCGCAAACATCGGTATCACCCTATGTAAACACAATTTACCACTGAAAATGAACTTTACGCCGTTGTTTTAAGAGCTGCGGTTGTCGTTTCGGTGCTGGTTCAGCTAACGATGAGTAAATATTTGTTAAACAATGCTGTTATTAAATAAAGGGAGTATTTGACGTAATACGAGGCAAATAAAGGAGCAGTTGTTAGATCTTAATATGGTATCGTTGCTAATGGCGTCGCCGCGATGAAAACCTGCGAAACATACATTCAATACAGTCAAAAGAAAAATTGCTACGTACAACATATTTGAAATCCCCATGGTCCCCGTTTAAGTGCGTTATCAGACTCAGTGTTCAAACCTATTGAAAATACTTACTTTATTAAATTTAAATACATTTTCATTTAAGAACGAAGATTTGATTGACGAACCGGATACCCTATTTAATTACATTTAGTTCCCAGGGGTGATAACGCATCTAAATTTTGTTTCTTTTTCGATGATAGATGTAGATGTCTACGGGACGTAGCATCTACTTACCATCGGGTGACCGTGTGCTCATTTGTCACCCCTATTTCATAAAAAAAAGAATGTAAGTGGCTGAAGACTTTTTAACAACGTACTGCATTTCGATTCTGAATTAGAGATAGATGCAGGTAGCTATGGGCCACAGCTTCCACTTACCACCAGGTAGACTAAGTGCTCGACTTACTTCTATAAAAAAAAAGTGTTCGCGGGCCGCCATTTTGAGGTCGTTTCTTCGTTACCTAGACTTATTCACGTAAAACACACGGTCGTGTCCACTACGGAACTCCACCCTTATTTTTTTAAATGTATTTAATAAATTAAGGCCTGTTATGTATTATGAACGAAATCTGCACATGTTCGCAAATCAAGGAATATTTTAATGCCATATTACAATAAACACTCGTACATTGTCAATGACTCACGACTTTTTCTGCTGTCCGAATCAGGGCGGCGCTACTTAGAAATGAGGTGAAATATTTAATAGATTTCGTAGTACACGTAACCCGATTTTTTATTTGTTCTAAGCCTGAAGCTTATGTATTTGTGTAAGAGTACATTGGAAACCGCACGACGCGATGTTCTTCAAAGGCGGTTGAATTCTCCAACCCCAGCCGATCCTAATTGCGCCAATTAGACTAGTGATGTGGATTGTTAGAGGGCGACAAACAACGAACATTATTACGTTTACCTTGCTTGTGTAACTTTTTAGCCGACTTTAAAATAGGAGAAGATACACAATTTGAATGTATGTATGTATGAAGTAAGGTGGAGATATATAGTACGACAGTATTAAAAATAAAAAACGTCACGTTTTCTTGAAACACCAGCGGGACTGCATAATATGTAATAAAACAAAAGAAGAATGATATCTGGTAAAGAAGTTTCATTTCGTACGTATGAACACAATTTTTTGTATGTACACGATATCTTCGCCAATTAAGAACTGATTTTAATATTAAAAAGAACGAGGAAAAAAGGTTTTTTGCTGAATATAAACAGAAACAGAAACTTTTTTATTCAATATAGATTATAAACAATACTTATTGAAAGTCACTTTTTTTAATTTACCACTAGTTCAGAAAAAAATCTCTGTCCTGGGAAGAACCAGCAAGAAACCCAGCGGGACTATTTTTTTCAAATAATACCTTACAATCAAGTATGTTACAATTAATAACACAAAACAAATTACAAATTGCTTGGTAGCGATCACCCTCCATAAAGGCCTCCATAAATAGCTTGGCACACGGTCTCATGACACTTTATTATAAAAAAGAAATACTTACAAAGGTAAGTATCCGTTAATGGATGGATAACTAATGGATACTCTTGTGTTAGGAGGGGTCCACGATAGTAGTCGAATGACGGATTAGAACCCAAGACCGGCTGGCAACGGTTTTTAATTATTTTGAGTTATAATGCTACGAAATGAACTAATGGATTGAATGTGAATAAACCAACCTTTGGAATAGTAAAAGCCATCTTTCGGGAGACGTGAACTTTTTCGTATCTTCCGGTTTTTTTTAAATGTTACCCTCCACCCTAGAATTTTCTTCTGTAACGTGGGGGCAGTTGACATACATAAGTGTCACAAGAACAAACATCTATATCCGGAACAATCATTTGTAGGCCATACAAATACTTGTTCTGTACGGGATTCGAACCAGCGGCCCTCAGCGCTGCAACTCATTGCTAAGCCATTGCGCCAAGGAGCCGTCAAATCTATATAAAAAACCATAAATAAAAAATATACTACTAACTATAACACGTATATATAGGTAAACTTTGCAATATTTTAATTCAACTCGACTGGAGTTCCGCGCCTCCCGGGTCGCACTCCCACCAGTATTATACAGCCAGATACTGTGTATTTTCTCAAATTTTCCTCGTAACTCGATACCAGAAGTCTGCAATTGCTAATTGGCGAGTATTAAACCCATAAAACATTTAATTTATTTTTATTTAAGTATACTAAGTTAAATAATTACGGTTAAAATGCTCTACAAATTTGCTTGATTTAGACGTTTTGACGTCAGCTTAATTAGAAATTCATGAAGCTTTCAATTATGTTAGAGTCGAAGTAGCGCAGAGGGTAAGCGACCACTTTGAAATTCACAATAAGTGAGCATCCCGAATTCAATCCCCGCTGGAACTAATGACATTTTTTATGGAATAAGGGTAACAAACGAGCACACAGTCCACCTGATGGTAAGTGGATGCTGTGGCTCATAGACATCTACGTGCAAAATTAAAAATCAAAATGCAGATGCGTTGTTCCCTTGAGGACTAAGATAGAATGCCTCATTTCCAGTCAAAATGGTATCCGTTTTCTACACTCATCATACGAAACGCAGCAACATTAAACTGCTACTTTACGCTGGTATTCTGTGAGAGGGCGGTCCTACCCCGGTCGAGCCGACCCTTACATGCTACAACCATAATATAGTTGCAGCATAGCGAGATCTCCACGCTTTCTCATAATATCGTCGCACACATGTCCGAGTCCTTTTTCGGGCAAGCCGACGTAAATTAAAATACTAGTGATCTTGAATTTTAACGGACATCCTCAACACAGCACATTCGTACGTCGCGTGCGCGGTGCTTTTATGTGAGGGGGCTGGGTTATGAATATTTGATAGGGACCCCCGTCGCGGGGCATCCCTGGTACGCGTCGAAAGCAGGTACGCGTCACAAACTCACAGGGCAACATTTTCATCCAACCTTTGATTTTAGTACCAAATGTGTTACTTTGTGAATTTGAAATAGAAACAAACTTTTTTATTCAATATAGATTACAAATAATACTTATTAAAAGTCACTTTTTTGTTTAATTTGCCACTAGTTCTGAAATAAAACTCTGTACCAGGAAGAACCGCCAAGAAACCCAGCGGGGCCTTTAAAAAAATAACAGCTTACAATCATGTATGTACACAATTAACAAGGCAAAACAGATAAGAAATAGTTTGGTAGCGATCACCACTCCCAGGGGTTATTATCATTCATACATTTTTTAATATTATAATGACACTTTTTATACAAACTTAGTTAATAAATTTTTTGAACTTTGAGCAAGTCAAATTTTGTATATTTTCTGAGAATTTGCATCGTCCCAAAAATAAATGAACGAGTCCGTAACGCTGGAGTCGAGTAACTGGTACTACTCCTATATTTAAATAGGTACTACTAACTTATGTGAGTTCTTAGTATTTACAGAATAAATAGGACTTTTTTTGTACAACTTCTTTTATTTTTGTGTACCTACGTAAATTACATTTTGTAGTATTGAGAGTACTAAGAAAGTATTGAGAGGCCAAAGTTAATATAATATTAATTTCCTGAAATTTTTGTCTGAGCTACTTTAGGTTTTAAGTCATAGATTGCTCTAATGGTTCTCTTCTTTAAAACAAATATAATTTCAATGTCAGTCGCGTGTCCCCATAACAAAATAACATACGGCATTATGCTATGTAAATAGTAAACTATACAGCTATGCAGCTATAGTAAACTAGTCTAGTTGTTTCAACACTGGTAAGATTTCTAATATTTTTTACAGTATATGGAGAATTTTATGGCAACGCACCTGCTATTCCCCTGGTGTTGCGGTTGATCATAGGCGGCGGTAGTCACTTAACATCAGGTGAACCGCATGCTCGTTTGCCCCCACTTCTATATAAAAAAATAACTTAGTCTATTTGCTAGTTTTGATATATTCGGATATCATTAAGCCCCACTAAAGCTTCGTGGTATCGACAAGACTCAACTCCACCCGATTTGAAATGACATTGGTATTTAAATGTTTGACATATGAAAATTGTTAACGTTAAACCAATTCACTAATTTAAAAATAGCATTATTTACTTTGCATAAAAGTTAAAACAAAATTTAAAAAATAAACTATATACGTCCCACTGCTGGGCACAGGCCTCCTCTCATTTCTGAAAGGGTTCTATGTCAAGAATGTGTCCGCCGCACTGCCCATATGCGTGTTGGCGAACTTCACGTCTTCGAATTTTTTTCCTTTCCAGTTTTTCAGTTTCCTCATGATGTTTTCCTTCACCATCGATCACGTGTAAATCTGCACTAAA